AAGAGGAGTCCATGAAGATATTTATCGACAAATGGGATTCAGAACATGAGTTTTGTTTTGTCTGAGACATGTCAGCTGGATATTTCTGACTTCTTGTGGGATTCGAGCCAAGCTCCTACAATTCCAAATACCAGGACATTATCCAAAAAGATAATGATTCACGAGAGGCAGCCTTAGTGAAAACGGCTACAGGCTGACATTTTTGATTTTCCAGGAAATAGTTGACTAAATCAAATTGATCGGTCTTTGTTGACATATGGGTCTCTTGAACGGACGCCTCGATATAATCATCATGATGAGAATTGAAGCAATATGAAGGTGTTTGTTCGAGCAGCGCATATGCCAACAGAAACGGACCGATTCAGTCTATCAGAAGTATCAATAGGAAATTACAAGTGTCTGTAAGTAAAATGTGTATACATTTACCTATTCGATGCAACACTGGAGGATGTAATAATACTGACGCAGAAATCACAGTTGAATGCTACATAAAACTGAAAAACGAAACTTGATTGTTATGCATTTTTGGTTTTGTTTTATATTACTATTATTATTTGTCCCTTGTGTTCCTGGTGGAACATACAGCTTCAGTAGCATGTCGCCATTTCACTCTCTTCTTTGCAGTCTTTTCAACCTGGCTACACGACTGTCCAGAAGCTTTCATTTTTTTCTCACACAATCTCCTCCATGTCATCCTCGGCTCAGACACCCAACTCGTCGTTTCCATTTTGGATTCCACTCGACGGTTTTGCCTGAGGCGTAATGTCCTCAAACCATCTTTTCACGGTCTTATTGACAAATTATGAATTTGTGTTTTGAAATTTTCTTTTATAAACTTTTACTACTCTTAAGTAGTTTAAGGGATTTAAAAGAAAATTGTACTAAAATACTTCATATTCCAGGGTACGTCAGTATCTGTAAGAAAGATGTCAAACAAAACCGATACATTCACGCTGTTCTAGTAGAATATTTGTGTGCAGGTATGTGGTTTAAAGATGAAGATTTTCAACTGAATATAGAATAAGAATACTTGATTAGGCAGACTATATGATGAATTAAGGACAACGGTATATCTTTCATTCAGAGCACACACACCGGCTGAAATGAAGTCAATATCTGGGTAATTTCTGGATCTTACAGTTACCCAGCCCATGGATTGGTAAGTGTTTTCAATTAACCTTAACCACCATCCCAATATACAAAGGAATACAACACCAAGCAACTCACCGTCAGAATATCCAACAGATGGAAAATATAGGCCAATGATTTCAAGTTAAAGCGTGTACTGACTTCAGCTACTAATAAGGTACAGATGTCAAAGAGGTTTAAGTCATATCTATGTTGTGTAGAGATAAAAACTAAAATGGAAAGACCAAGATATATTGAAAAGTCCCGAAAAAACAAAGATATCAAGAACAGGTTGAACTCCGTTTGTTAGTATTTTTAGCCAGCAATATATCGACACCTTCACTTACTTAGGTAGGTGTATTAGCTCGACAAAGCTGGTTGCCGACGAAATCTCAGCTCGGATAAAGAAGGCCCGTTTGGGATTTGCCAACTTGCGTCATCTACAGTGTCGGCAAGATCTCCAACTACCAACCAAAGGACGAGTATACTGCGCAGTAGTTCCTACTTTCTTGTTATACGGTTGTGAAGGCAACGCTGAGGTCAAACGAAGAGTACAATGGTGCAGATGTATCCAATTGTTAACATCTTCCAAAGCTTCAACATTTGTATTTCTAAGCAAGGTTCTATGTTGATTTTGTCAGTTAGTCAGGCAAATAGATAATGCCAACAACAATTCTAGTTACCATAACTTAGCGAACAACATCAAGCAAAATAGCACATAGATAAAATATCAATCATTCAGGAAGAAAGTGGTTACAAGTGACCTGAAGTTGTGAAAACAGTATAAGAGAGAACTAGACAATACCAGAATTAAGATGAGGACAATATATAGGCTCATAAGCATCATTATGATCGATTCTCAGATATATCACCTACAGTCTCCAACCACTGGTTCATGTTATTATGCGGACCTCAACATTTGCCTATAAGGCTCAGATCAGTAGTCAAAGATTGCATGCCCTGATACCATTTATATCCGCGAAGAAATTTCATCAGCCACTAACCTATCCTTCGGAGCTGATTCAACTTCTCAGGTGAGTGAAGTCTTCAACGCACATAACCAATTCATTCCATATTGTTAAACAGAACACCACTGAAGACTAGTTGTAGAGCAATAATTTGCATTTGTTTGGAAATAGACGCATCGTAAACATTCTCAAGCTGCCAACTAATATATCCAGAAGACTCTGCATCTTGTCAGTGTCTTCACCTATCAGAAATATGTAATCTGTATACCCTAGATCCACTAAGGATTCTCCTGAGATAAGATCGATCCCTCACTTGATATCTCATTCCCAAGAGCTCTAAAACGCTTTGTGGTGTTGGAATACAGCACCTTCAATAGGGCAATATACTTACCTGGTACATCTCTTAGTAAGAGACATTGCTATAAGAACTGTAGATCAAAAGAGTCGGATTTTGTCCTCAGATCGAAAAATATAGCTATTATCAGTCATCAGTAGATGTGGTTGTGTTTCAGAACCTGACAGAGGTAAAATCTGATCCATACACTTACGATTATATCAACTTTCTGCCTGACTTAGCCTACTAACTTGTCTATTGAAATCACCCATTACGAAAAATACATCTGAAAGTTTGGGTTTCTGTAAGAGGCTAGACAGTTTCCGATAGAACTCATCCATCACTTCTTCTGAAGTTCAGTATGTCGAGCTAACAGAGACACAACGACAAGTTTCATCATTCTTTTTAGCCCTCATTGTATTATTTAGTCGAACACTGAATAAGAAACTGTCAACTTTAATCTTGTCAAGCAGTGCACTTTCTCATTTAGCACTTAGTGATATACTTATACCTTCAAGGTCGCGAGGAGTCATGAAATCTTCAGAAAGTCAAAGGATGATTGACGGGTGAGGTTAAGTATATAACCGTATTTGGATCCTGTATTCATGTCCGACCCAGAGAGCATATATTTATCGCCTATGGATTACCAGGCTGGCGTTCTACCAGCCAACTGCTGACCAGATCGTGACTACCCTTCAATCAGCAGAAGTTTTGTTCGGCTTTTATATAACTCTATAACACGTAACTATCCATTCAGCATAATCACACTAACTACCAGACTAGAACTTCTCATCCAAATATAAAATTAAACTGAATCACATAGGTTAAGCATCGTATGGCAGAGTCCTATCACTGATACAGCATGAAGATTTACCGTGAGACGAAAATCAGGATTGTGACAGCATTTAAACCAATAATATCCAGATTGCCGATCTGAAAGTAATCAGCACTCAGGATCCAGTGGTAAGGAAGAACTTAAGTGCACGTAATCCCAGGTTAAGCATCCGAAAGAACATGAAGCATAAATCTTGGATTCCACAGTAAGTAACCGTCAAGCCAATCCATCTGAATAAGAAAATCAGTGAGAAGTAATGTCGAAATACGGAGAAATCTCATTGGTCAAAATTTATAGATCCAATCATAATTTAGCACAGCATTTTTATTTACATCCTCCATCTAGTAATCATTACTTTACTACTCTGCGACATAGATTCTTACTTAACAAGTGGATGACTGTTAATCTTCTATTACTCCGTAACGTCCCAAGTTGCCACACCTCATATCACCACATCACATAAAAAGGCAGTGAAAAATGAAAGATGAGGAAGAAAGGAAAATTCAGTCAAAAGAAATATAAAGTACTAAAAGGGAGAAAGGAAGAATGAGAAAATGGTGAAATTCGGTAAAGCATTAATACGAGGATAATGTGTGTATACATCTTCGCCACTGAATCAACTCTGAGTGATGTGATCACCTAGAGTCAGTCTCCAACCACTGGTTTCTCTTTTCCCACCGACCCCAACTACCTAGTCTGCATCGCCCCACATGACTCAAACCAACAGTCAACGACTTCATACATTGATGCCATATCATGTTTTAGTCTGGCCGAGATCCTCGATCCTTTCTCCAACCTGAACATACTTAGACCAAGATTGTGTGACGAGGCAGATGGTGACTAGGCAAACGTAACACATTTCTGAGCCAGCCATCATCTCAGTCGATGAAGGTTCACAACCATGTCAACTGACTTACCTCTTCTCTTCTCCCTAAAACTCTACACCTGACGTCTGTGTTACTCAAGTGGTGACACGATGGAATACGGCCTATAGTATGAAGGGAACGTTGGTCAAACACCTGAAACCTTCTAATGTCTCCCACCTTCAATGGTCGTGTTTCGTAGCCATATAGTAGAAGAGAGTGGAGTGTTGTGCGTTCCACGTGACCCTTAATAGATAATCGGACGGACGGACACCACTCGATGAGCATAACTTCCTGGACATCACACCATAGCCTTTAACACAACGAACAGGTGGATGGAAAAAGAATAATATCAAAGCTGGTGAAGTAGTATGAGAGAATAAATAATCTGATGATAACAGTTAGCTCAAACACTGGTTCCCATCGTCTCGGGGTCCCCATTCAAGCAGTCTAAATCTCCCAGCACGACTCAGATCAACAGCGGGGAACTTCATTAACTGGTATCACGTTTTGCTCTGGTCACCCTGAACCCTCTTTTAACATAGTCTAACTTCCCTCAGCAAGGTATATTGAGGTAGATGGTGGCTCGGTATGCACAGTACATATCCAAGCCATCTGATCAATCGACTTGCCTGTCTTGACTAGTACTCTTCGCCTGACGTCAGCATTCCTGACACGGTGATCCCATCAAATGAGAGCAATGCTACACAGAGACCTATGACCTGACCCTTACCTATTTTGTGGGGGCTAATGACACTATAACCTGGTTGCTCAAACCTCAGTAACTGGGGCTGGGTTCGAATCCGCGACCTATTGGTTGAAACTTCACTCTCTATACCAACCAACATGTCACAACTACAACAGAAGAATATCCACATTGTGACAGTTTTATTCATAAAGGAAGGGGAAATTATCAATGAAACCATAATAATAATGATGGTAAATTTATACAATATCCAGATATGAATCACTAATTTTGAAAGAGAACAAGTCTATACAGAAAATCGGTATTTGTGTGGGAGTTAGGGGGAGAGAGAGAGAGAGAGACAGAGAGATAGAGGCAAGGAACAATAACTGGGATCCAGTAAGAATGACGACTGTCATCACAGACTAACACGTATGCGGACACATAATGGTAACACAACCATAACAATATTTATACCAGAGGAAATATCTACACTATTATAAAGGTTGATCAGTGGATACAGCGGCTTGGTGGAATCAAGCCAGTAAGCTATAAACACATACAAACAAATAAACAAGGTGTACTGTAGGATAAAGCAAATGAAAGCGAAGCTGATCATCGTTTTAACCACGTTGATTGTGTTGATATCATACAATCATACGAACACAGACAGACAGACAGACAGACAGACAGACAGACAGACAGACAGACAGACAGACAGACAGATATTGCCACACATTGTACGATACAATGATGATGATAATAATAAGAGGAAAATGGCCGATAGGAGAAAAGGTGAACACAAGTGTACTAACAACAAGAGAAAAAACTAAAAGGTGAATTATTGAAGACTTCTTCACTGGATCCAACTATACAACTTACAAAATAGAAAAATAGAAAGAACATAGACTACTACTAGATGAATACTAACCAACAAGATAGCTGAATAATTTTTCTACACATGGGGATTATTATCTCATGCAAAAGTTGTTTAAAATGATGATGATGATGATGGTAATGATGATTATCCAGATTCTATTCAATGTGTCAATTGATACAATCCACTTAATTATTATCATCGAATAGATCATCTCGTGCATAGTATAAATCAAGACAATTCACTCCATGAAATTGTTCTCGACTAATTTCTTCAATAGATGTATGCGAATCTAACAATTGATAAGTATTTGTATTTTCATTATAACTGTATAGAACGAATCGAACACTTTCATCTAGAAAAAAAAACACAACAACAACAACAAGGAAGGAAAGAAGGAAGGAATAGAAAAGGAAGAGGAATGATGAAAAAAGTAAATATTTGTAGTAGTTCAGGATATGAGTTATCCTCTAAATATCTGGGTTATCAACTGACAGACGTTTCATTGTCATGCTAGGCATCATCATCATCGCCATTAACACATCAAGGCTTATGTGTTGTGGCAGTGTCTGACTGTGAACGGAGTACCAAGTCAGTAATGCAGAATATTTGTAGCCCAGGTGAATGATCTTGGTTGTATTGTGTTCTGTGAGTTAGGTTGTTGAATAGTGAAGCTTTCATCGTCTTTCTAGACAGCAACATCATCTACACTAACTTCAGTATGAAGTGAGTAAGCTGTCAATATCTCTCCGTGAGTGATTTAGTAGCCTACTCTGGCGATGTGGTCTCTTATTGGTTGTTTCCTTCAATTGTTGTGTCATTGACTGTATAGACTTTTCTGTTGGTTGTTCCTATGCTTCACCTCTCACCTTTCTGTCTCCTATCATCTTCCATTATTGGTTGATAGATTGGGTCTATATCTATACATCTGTTGACTGCTGACTGACTGACTGACTGACCTGAATACCAACCTTCTAGGAATTCTATGATATTCTTCTTTGTGTTCCCTCTGTCCAGAATTTCTGTATTGTCGAAATTAAATTCATGTCCATAGTTGTTATCCACGTGCATTGAAATGAGTGACGAAATAACGTGGAGTTTAATAGCCAATTGGTGTTCATGTAGACGAAGATGAAGAGGGAGGTCATTTTGTCCAATGTAGTGTTGTCTACAGTTATTCCAGTTGATTTTGTAAATGATATTCGGTTTGTCTTCTTTGATTGTTGTATCCTTTGGTCTGTACATTATTGTTTAGAGGGAATTTGTTGGTTTATGAGTCATATCACAGAATTCCTAGAAGCTTGTCATTCAGGTCAGTCAGTCAGCAATCAATAGATGTATAGACATAGACCCAATCTATCAACCAGTAAGAAAAATGATAGGAGACAGAAAGGTGAGAAGTGAAGCAGAGGAACAACCAACAGGAAAGTCTATACATCAATGACACAACAGTCGAAAGAAACAACCAATAACAGGCCACATCGTCAGAGTAGGCTACTAAATCACTCACGGAGAGATATTGACAGCTTACTCACTTCATACTGAAGTTAGTGCTGATGATGTCGTGTAGAAAGACGATGAAAGCTTCACCATTAAACAATCCAGCTCAGAGAACATAATACAACTAAGTATCAAGCAAGTATAAATGCTTACCAAAGCTATCTACTAGAACTCATACAGCCATGTCACAAGCTTATGGAGAGTTGTTAAGTGAGTTGACAACAAATAATGGTGTCTGACAAAGATGTCCACTGTCACCGTAACTGTTTGACTTCTTCATAGACGTACTAATGGACTTAACAGGGGTTAAAATACTCCCTAGATGTCATCTAGTTGACTTGGAATATGCAGATGATATTGTCCTACAAGGCGAAGACGCTAACGAAAGGCAGGGTCTTTTGAACCACTTCAGTAGAAGTCTGTGTACGTTTGGCATGCATTTGTTGTCACTTGTCAAATGCAAGATGTTGCTCCACAACTGGTGTGCAACGACTCCCAGCTTAATGATAGATAGTGAAGTGGTGGAATGTGTCGACCACTTCGGGAGTTGCATCACACCGAACGGGGTGGTTGCTGACGAAATCTCAGCACGGATTCAGAAGGTCCATTTGGTAACCCATTTGCTAACCTGTCTCACCTGTGACGTCGGTGACATATCCACCTATCTATCAAAAGACCAGTATACTGTGCTGGAATCCCTTCTGCCCTGTAGTACGGCTGTGAGGTATGGTCTTTAAGATTACGAGACGTGAAACAGTTGCAGTTTTTCGACCATAGATGTCTTTGTAGCATTGCTCATACGTGGTGGAATCACTGTGTAAGAAATATTCAGGTCAGGCGAAAGGTACTAGACAAGACAGGCAAGTTGATTGATAACACTGTGAACTTAAGTCAACTGAGACGGCTTGGACATGTACTGTGCATGCGAAACCAACATCTACTACTTCGACGTGTCATACTGGTGGGAAAAGTGGGATTAGGATGGAAAAGGGTTCAGAGTGGCCAGACAAAAATATGGTACTAGTGCATGAAGTCTCTGACTGCTGGTCTGAGCCGTGTCAGGAGATGTAGACTGCTTGGTTGAGGCTTTCGAGACGAAAGGAAGTAGTGATTGAAGATTTTTGGTGACATGGCTGAAAATCGGTCAAAATGGAGTAGATGTATTCACTCCTTGACATCTTCTAAATCTTGAATAATCACACTAACCTTTATCTACTTTTATATCACTCAGTTTTTATCCGCCTGTGCTTTGTCTACTTCTACGAAGTGTAACAACTTGAGACAATGCACTCGGGTGCAAGGTTCTACATTGATTTTGTCAGTCAGTCAGTCGCAACGCAATATTACAAGTATCGACAAATAATAATAGTTGGAAGCTGTTTTCAACCATTTATTATTTATTTATTTGTCCTTTGGGTTCCTAGTGGAACATAGAGCTTCAGTAGCCCGCCTCCATTCCACTCACTTCTCTGCAATCTTTTGAACCTGGTTCCACTACTGCCCACAAGCTCTCATTTCTTCCTCACACCATCTCCTCCATATCACCCTCAGCTGGGATGCCCAACTCGTCGTTTCCCCTTTGGATTCCACTAGACGATCTGGCCTGGTCTGACGTGTGATGTCCCCCAAATCGTCCATGCCCAATCCATCTCCACTTTCTTCTACTGCATATTTGTTGGTCCATGGGTTCTTGGTTGGTTCGTTGCTCGGCCAGAGTTCCTTGTTGCTTATTCTTATTATTCTGGCCATCAGATCTTCAGTATCGAGTGAGCGCAGGTGGAAGCTGTTGATGAATGTCTGTAGTTTTTTGGAAATGCTGTTCGTAATGCCTCAAGTCTCTGAACCATATAGAAGCACTGACGACTGAATTAGTGTTGAAAATCTGGATCTTGTTCACGCTTTATGCTGAGTGGAGTAGATCTCCACACTGATTATTCCACGTTAATGCAGGCCTGTCTTGCTTTTCCGATCCTAGTTTTGACATCTTCATCTGTACCGCAGGGGCTTGTAAATGAAAAGATGCTACCCTACCTAGGTAGGTGAAAGAGACAACTTTCTGTAGGTTTCTCTCGTTAATGGTGATTGGTGTTTGTTGATGATGTTGTTAGTTGGGTATCTTCATGACCTCCGTCTTCTCCAGGCTCATCTGCAGTCCCGTTTTCGCTGCCTCCTCTGTCAACTTGTTGGTCTTCGCTTGTAGATCTTCGACTTTGTGAGATATTAGACATAAACCATGATCGGCGAAATCCAAATCTTCTAGGGTCTTTTCAGCGGTCCAACCAGCGTATCTCAATCTTCTCGCTCCTCACAGTTTGTTGCATGATCCAGTCCAGTTGACCACAATCAGTAAGATCATCGTTGATAGTAGGTGGCAGCCTTGTCTTACTCCTGTCTGTCTTCACTTCAAAGGCGTCACTGAGCTTTCCATTGTGAATCACTTGGCACGTAGCATAATCATATAGCATACAAGCTTTTGAATGAGGTTGATGAAGGTTTGTGGCCCTAACACCATATTGTTGAAACAGCTGTCAAATTACTTCTCGGTCGACACTGTCGAAGGCCTTTTCAAAATCAACGAAGTTGATGTAAAGATCCCGTTAACTGTCATTCTATGCTCTGTTCTTATGATGACGCGTAGCATAGCGTTGCAATTTGATCCGCACATGATTTATTCTTCCTGAATCCAGCCAGCCTGTTCCGGTGGTAATTTTGAATCCAGAGCATCTTTTAGTCTCTCCAGGATGATGAGGCTTATTATTTTGCTTGGGGTGGACAGGAGCATGATTCCTCGCCAGTTCTTCCAAAGACTTAGGTCTCCCTTCTTTGAGATCTTGACAAGGTAGTCCTTCTTCCAATCTGCAGTTATCTTTCCTTCTTTCCAAATCTTCTTCAGTAGTGGTATGAGCATGCTTGCTGCTGTCTCTGCATCTGTTTTCAGTGCTTCTGGAGAAATTCCATCTGATCCTCCTGCTTTTCCTGATTTGAGTAACTTTAAGACGTTCACAACTTCTGCTTTTGTCGGAGGGTTTGTGTTCACTGGTAATTCTGTGGCTGGGTTGCTAGTGATATTTTCTAGACACGTTGCAGATGATCTATTTTCAATTAGGACTGAAAAACTTTTGATAACTTCCATGACCAGATTTAGGAGGTTTGGATTTCACGAACAGTAATGTATGGTAGAAACAGTAAAATAATAGTCGATTGATTAGATTGCCAACTACGGATTTGATATAGCATAGTATGGTATAACAGAATGATTAGCGTATACCAGAGAAGAATGATTGAACTTATCAATTGCACTCAATTTATTACCATCTCCAAGACTGAATGTAATGATCAAGAAGGCTGAATAGATGATATAGCGTATCATAAAACTACTATTTATTACAATATAATGAATAGACTTCTAAATAATGTGAATGAAAATCATACAAACTATGAATGTACAATTTACTTAGAGTAATAGTGAAGATCATAAAATAGTTGACAACTTTTTACGAATGTATGTCTAGAAGCATATCGTTTGTAGTTCATTGATCTAAGTACTCCACTTCCAGCCAGTGGGATTGAGGGGCGGAGGGGGGATCACAGTTTCCAACCTCACCTCAACTACTTATCAAGGTCTCAGTGTAGTCAGTCAAGTAGTCACACAATTAGTATAGCTAGCTTACTGTCTACTTCATAAATAGGCATGTGATTGTTCAGTGTATATTTAAGACTTTTATTTTTCACTTCCAATTCTACTATATCATAACTAATTTTAGTTATATAATCAAATCATCTGTGATCTCTGTAATCTTTTGAACCTTTCGCCACGACTGCCCACAACATCCCATTTCTTTCTCACATGATCGCCTCCATATCACCATCAACTGGGACGCCCAACACGTCGTTTCTCATCTGGGTTCCACTCGAGTGCTTGGCCTCGCACGTGATGTCCCCACTCGGCCTTCTCAGTGAATACCAAATCCATCTACACTTCCTTCCACTGCATATTTATTCAGCGATAGATTCTTGGTTGGTTCATCACCAGCCAGCCAGCCAGCCAACCAGAGTTCTTTGCTGCTTATTCTTATTATTCTGGCCATCTAATTGATCTTCAGTGACGAGACACCATAGGCAGCAGTTGTTCATGAATATCTGTAGTTTATTAGAAATCCCTTTCGTAACACGACAACTCTCTCCACCATCATACACAAGCACTGACTTCACTGGTATCAGTGTTGAAAATCCCAATGTTGTTCACGCTTTATGCTGAGTGCAGTGTAGAAGATCTCCACACTGGTTTCAGTTTAATCAACGCCTGTCTTGCTGCCTTTCCGATCCTGGTCGGCTTTGACGTCTTCGTCTATGCCACCACCTGTAGTTGAAACAGTGCTGCCTTGTCTAGATAGGTGTAGGTGAAAGAGGCTACTTCCTTTGAGTTTCTCCCACTGATGGTGATTCCAGCATGTTGTTCCTGTTGTTGATCGGGTATCTTCATCACCTCTCTCTTCTCTACGTTCACTTGAAGTCCAGTCTTCGTTGCCCTGCCTCTTCTATCAACTTATCAGTTTTCGCCTGTACATCTTCAACTTTGTGTGACAAGACATTAGACACAAGTCATCGGTGGCGAAATCCAAACCTTCTGGGATCTTTTCCTTGGTCCAGCCAGCGTATCCCCTTCTTCTCGCTCATCACTGTTGTCTACTGCATGATCCAGTCGACTACAATCAGAAATATCATGGGTGATAGTAGACAGCCTTGTTTTACTCCTGTCTGTCTTCACTTCAAAGGCATCACTGAGCTTCCCATTGTGAATTACTTGGTCAGATCTTGTTAACTTCAACTGTATTTATCAATTCATAAGTACATGCGGTAGGAAGTACTTAGGAAGAACAAATAGACAGTCGTCTACCAGGATTGTCAACCATATGCCAAGGAGTTTACGGTTAAAGAAAACCTGAATGCTGATCGAGTTGTGAGGGTGGATGATTCTTCCCGGCTGCCCACACCGTGGAAGGCTATTTCTTCTTAAGGTACCTGAAAGAAATTTGTGTACCCGCAGAGCCCATCGGACATCTGCTTGAGGCCTGTCACACCCAGCCTTTTGAATATGATTATTTCGAACTTTTGTATTTTTGGGGCCGGATGGTCGAAAAGAAACGACAAGTGAACGAACACTGCCGACCCGCAGACGTCGGGGCATGGTGGAGTGTTATATTTGGGGCCGAACCTTCTAATCCCCCCCCACTTCCGCTGACAAGGCAGCATCAGCATGGCACTGCTGGTCATCCAAGGGAAACACCTTACTGCTGTCACACCCCATCCAGCTAACAGCAGTATGACTTCGCCCTCAGAACCCAATCATAGTGTAGTAATTTACACCACAACGGCAACTGTTTTTCATCTTACCACTATCCAACAGACCTTTCTGGTATGGTAGGACCCTAGAGGGAACAAGCGTTCCACCAGCATAGCTCGTTGGGTCATTGAGATATGCAAGCCCGACCACCACGTCAAGGTAGCAGCTATCGGTCGGGATACAGTAAAAGTGTTGATTACAACTGACAATTCATCTTATGAATAAACTCTTCAATAATACTTTAGACTTACCCGATACTTCTCTGTTTATTCTTTGTAGATTAATGCGTACAGTTAAATATCTACACAGATGATCAACTGAAGAGAATGATATTGAATAACAGAAAAATAAAGAAAAAAACTTTTTATTAGAAATGATATTACAGTATGAAATAATACGATCAATAAACAGATATAAACGTAAATAGTATATAGAATAATGGTCAGTCAGTTCGACTCTCTCCACCTTATACTGACAAGTCAAAGTTGGAAGTTACCAACAACGAAAGTATTTGCCTATTTTTCCAATCCGATTCCATCCTCAACTAACAGAGTGTTTTGCAATAGATTATCGCTTTGTTCGAGGTTTCATCAGTTTTGTAGGCTTACTTTTTCGCTCATTTATCAAAAGTGTCTTTTCTTCTGGAATTCACTGTAAACTACAGGCAATAAGCAAGGCATTCATGCAGTAGTCCATATGGCCATATAATCCTATCAAGGAAGGGATATTGCAAGCAACAACAATACTATCATCATCAAGATCAATATAGGACTAGGCATTACCGCGTAACGGTCAAAGTTGTCACACACACACACACACACATACTTCATACTAGCACATCAAGTAACAAGGCAGTAAAATGGAGGATGAAGAAGGAAAGAAAAATCGATCAAAGGAAGTAGAAGTAGAAAGTAGTAAAATAGAGGAAGGAGATGATGAGATGTGTGTATGCATCTGCATGACTGAAATCGGTTCTCAGCTGCATCACCTACAATCTCCAACTACTGGTTTCCCTTGTCCCACGGACCTCAACCGTCTAGTCTGCATCGTCCTATATGGCTCAAACCAACAGTCAAAAACTTTCTGCATTCATATTGTGGTTTAGTCTGGCTGCTCAGAGACTTTTTTCAGCCTGAACGTACTTTGGTCAATATTGTGTGACGAGGAAGACAGACAGCTAGCGAACTGAGTAGACAAGGGTTCACAACTACACCTCTCTTGCCTAAAACTTTAAGTCTGAGTTTTGAGTTACTCACATGGTGACACGAAGGCAACATTATTTAGATGCAGACAATTTTATCAATGAAGAATTTTTGATAGAAATTCGCTTTCAGCTATAATTCCTTAAGCTGTGTAGCTTAAATAATTTAGCTCCAGCTAATTTTTCCCCCTTTGATAAGAAAATAATCAAGATAAAAACAAAGTACTTGGTTGATTGTGTTCTCTGAGTTAGGCTGTTTAATCGTAGAGTTTTCATCGTCTTTCTACACGACATCATCATCAACACTAACTTCAGTATTAAGCGAGTGAGCTGTCGATATCTCTCCGTGAGTGATTTAGTAGCTTGCCCTGAGCAACTTGGTTTGTGATTGGTTGTTTCTTTTAATTATTGTGTTATTGACTGTGTAGATTTTCCTGTTGGCTGTTCCTTTGTTTGACCTCTAGCTTTTCTGTCGTCTGTCAACCAACGAGAAAAATGATAAACGACAGAAACGTCAGAGGTGAAGCAGAAGAACAGCCAACAAGATCTATACAGTCTGTCAATGATACAACAACCAACGGAAACAACCAATCAATCACGGTGAGATATTAACAGTCCACTCACTTCATACTGAAGTTAGTGCTGATGACGTCACTGTCTAGAAAGATGACGAAATCTCCACGACTAAACCACGCAGCTTAGAGAACACAATACAACCAAGACCATCCACCTGAGCTATAAATATTCTCCATTTCAAAAAGAAAATACGCTATACAATGAAGGTTCCATTAACATTCTTGAACAAAGACACGATCTCATATACGATAGCTATGCAATATAGAAGGAAACTGTAAATTTACTACCCAGAGAACGGCTTTTGGACCTTGAATATGTGGACGATAACGTCTTACTGTGCAATAACACATAGGCTAATCAAGTCGCACTTAATTGGTTGGCGATTACTGTTCGTAAGTATGGGATGTGCTTTGCACCATTAAAGTGCAAAGTATTCTTGCAACATTGGAAGGAGCCTATGTCTGCACTCACCCTTTGCAGTGAGCTGTTGGATGTAGTCAAAAATTTCGTGTATCTGGGTAGTTATGTGAATGCTGGTGGAGGTGTGTGGTGAAATTTTCAACCGCATATCAAAAGCCAGAGTGGTATACATCAATCTGGGCCACTTTAAGCGCCATTGCGACGTTAGTCTGACCATAAAAGGTCAGGTTTATAACGCTTCGGTGCAAGCAGTTCTGCTCTACACCTGTGAAATCTGGCCTCTCCGTACTGAGGGTGTGCGACAACCCTGTGTGTTCAATCATCGTTGTCTCCGCAGAGTGCTCGTATCCGGTAGCAACACCATGTAAGTAATCCTGAGGTACGACAGCGTGTATTTAGGCATGATGGAGATCACCATTCAATAAGTGAAGTCATCTAGAAACACCAGCTTCGGTGGTTTCGACATGTATTACGCATTTCATCCATACAGCTTCCATACCGCTCATTATTTACTGACTCTAAGAGTAGATCGAAGAAGCGTAGAGGTAATCAGTGTATAACATAGTGCCGTGGAATGAAGGATAGTGGTATCAGGTTGTTGCATCACGACTGTCTGGGTGGGGTCCAAGAGATCAGGCAACTAAGTGGCTTGATACGTTATCAGATATGGCTTAGAATAGAAACCAGTGGCGGTCATGCTTTAGCTTCCTTCCATCTTTTGCTGCCCTTCTATTAATTCAACTCTTATTGCGTTTTATTTCTGACTACTTCCCTTCGCTTTATATCTTCATGGCGCTGTTATATTATTTTGTGTGGGGCATTATTATTATTATCATTTAATTATTTATTTTTATTTGTCCCTTAGGTCCCTAATGGAACATACGGCTTCAGTAGCACGTTGCCATTCCACACTCATCTCTGTAATCTTTTGAACCTTTCGCCACGACTGCCCACAACATCCCATTTCTTTCTCACATGATCGCCTCCATATCACCATCAACTAGGACGCCCAACTCGTCGTTTCTCATCTGGGTTCCACTCGAGTGCCTGGCCTCACGCGTGATGTCCCCACTCGGCCTTCTCAGTGTATACCCAATCCAATCCATCTACAATTCCTTCCACTGCATATTTGTTCAGCGATAGATTCTTGGTTGGTTCATCACCAGCCAGCCAGCCAGCCAGCCAGCCAGCCAGCCAGCCAGCCAGCCAGCAGCCAGCCAGCCAACCAGAGTTCTTTGCTGCTTATTCTCATTATTCTGGCCATCTAATTGATCTTCAGTGACGAGACAGCATAGGCAGCAGTTGTTCATGAATATCTGTAGTTTGTTGGAAATCCTTTTCGTAACACAACAACTCTCTCCACCATCATACACAAGCACTGACTTCACTGGTGTCAGTGTTGAAAATCCCAATGTTGTTCACGCTTTATGCTGAGTGCAGTGTAGAAGATCTCCACACTGGTTTCAGTTTAATCAACGCCTGTCTTGCTGCCTTTCTGAGCCCGGTTGGCTTTGACGTCCTCGTATGTGCCACCACCTGTAGTTGAAACAGTGCTGCCTTGCCTAGATAGGTGTAGGTGAAAGAGGCTACTTCCTTTAAGTTTCTCCCATTGATGGTGATTCCAGCATGTTGTTCCTGTTGTTGATTGGGTATCTTCATCACCTCTCTCTTCTCTACGTTCACTTGAGTCCAGTCTTCGCTGCCTTGCCTCACCTCTTCTGTCAACTTGTCAGTTTTCGCCTCTACATCTTCAACTTTGTGTGACAAGACATTAGACACAAGTCATCGGTGGCGAAATCCAAACCTTCTGGGATCTTTTCCTTGGTCCAGCCAGCGTATCCCCTTCTTCTCGCTCATCACTGTTGTCTACTGCATGATCCAGTCGACTACAATCAGGAATATCATGGGTGATAGTAGACAGCCTTGTTTTACTCCTCTCTGTTTTCACTTCAAAGGCATCACTAAGGTTTCCATTGGGAATTTCTTGGCATACGGTGCCTTCATACAATTGTTGAATGAGTTTGATAAAGGTTTGTGGTATTCCGTAGTTTTGAAGCAACTGCCAAATTACTTCTCGGTCGACGCTGTGAAAGTCGATGAAGTTGAGGTAGAGAGTTGACTGCCATTCTATACTCTGTTCTATGATGATGCGATGTGTTGCATTTTGGTCCGTACCTGATTTATACTTCCTGAATCCAGCCTGTTCGGGTCGTAGTTTTGAATCCAGCACATTCTTTAGTCTCTCCAGGATGATGCAGCTTAATATTTTACTTGGTGTGGACAGGAGCGTAATTCCGCGCCAGTTCTTGGAAAGAGTAATACTAATATATAGTGTGAACATAACTAACTACTTGACAATATATAGACAACATTCAATCAAACGTGAACAAGCAAATCAAAACTTTTATATTATAAACTAACCTGTAGTGATGGTTGGTGCTTTCAGATATTTAATTAAACCATTTCCTTGATCATTGTAATTATTATTAGCATTATTGTAATGATAATAATTATTATGACTATTATTGATTATGCCTACACTATGACTACTGTTGTTACGATGTCCTGTTGATGTAGATGGACTACATGATGTTGTCAAACCTGTAGCGGTGGCAGCAGCTGTATACTGTGAAGAATAACGTGGATGTGGTTTAAGCAAGACTTCAATCTCAGGGAATACAGATGGTGATAAAACAGATGATATAGAATTAGTATTATGTAAAGTATTATTAACTTGTAAATTATCACGATCTATTGAACAAGTATACTGAGATTGTGAATGATGTAAATTCGACCCAGTACTGTTAGCTTGATTATTACTACTAATAACAATGTTAGTAGTATTAGTAGTAGTAGTAGTATTGGCTGATAGATTGCTTCGATGCTGTACAATTGGTAAATCGGATATAGAACTATTTTCACCAATTGAATTTGTATCCATTCCACTCTCTGTATCAGAATTATTAGTTAACTGATTATGGTGATGTAATGCAGAGACACGTCGTCTAGAACATAATCCATTAACAGCAAACTAGACAAGAAAATAATTGAAAAACAATTGAAATGTGTAAATAAATTAATCAAGTGAATAATATTCTATTATTTAATCATATTCATCACAAATAAGGGCAAGTATACAGAGAAGTATTGGACCTTCTAATAATCCTGTCAAATTGATAGAAAATCAAAATGTAATCAATAATGAGCCAAACTTATTATGTGAGGTGCCTAAACCTCGATAAGTGGAAGTGGACTCGAACCCCAGACACATTAGTTAGACCCACAGCTTTACTATGCATTTGACACTAGCCTGAGGGTAAAGTAAGTGCTTTTTAGTTCATTCAGCTACACCTATTCGACTCACCTGAGATAGATATTCTTATGGAGGTCTCCCTCTCGTCACCTGACTACACAGGTGACGAGACAATTTCCGTTAGACCTACAATATGCAGATGACATACTCCTGTTAGCTGAAGATGCTAACAAGACACAGAGTCCACTGGACACTTCCAGTGGCAATTCAGAATGTTTGGGATGCGTTTCTCACCATCCAAATGCACATTGTTACTCTACGATTCATCTTCAACGGTGTCACGGCTAACAACAGAGAATCTAGAAGTTGACTGTGTCAACCACTTCAATCACCTGAGAAATACGATCAGCCCTGATGATTAGCTCACTGACAGATCAAATCTCTGCACGAATACAAAACGCTCGGCTGGCTTCTCCCAACTCACGACACCTATGGCAACACCGTGATATCCAATCATCTAGTAGCGTCACGTGGAACGCACAACACTCCACTCTCTTCTACTATATGGCTGTGAAATACGACCATTGAAGGTGGGAGACATAAGAAGGTTTCAGGTGTTTGACCAACGTTCCCTTCCTACTATAGGCCGTATTCCATCGTGTCACCATGTGAGTAACACAGACGTCAGGTGTAGAGTTCTAGGGAGAAGAGAAGAGGTAGGTCAGTTGACATGATTGTGAACCTTCATCGACTGAGATAATGGCTGGCTCACACATGTGTTACGTATACCCAGTCACCATCTGCCTCGTCACACAATCTTGGTCGAAGTATGTTCAGGTTGGAGAAAGGATCGAGGCTCTCGGCCAGACTAAAACATGACATCGCATCAATGTATGAAATCGTTGACTGTTGGTTTGAGTCATGTGGGGCGATGCAGACTAGGTGGTTGGGTTCGGCGGGAAAAGAGAAACCAGTGGTTGGAGACTGACTTTAGGTGATCACATCACTCAGAGTTGATTCAGTGGCGAAGATGTATACACACATTATCCTCGTATTAACGCTTTACCGAATTTCACTATTTTCTCATTCTTCCTTTCTCCCTTTTAGTACTTTATATTTCTTTTGACTGAATTTTTTTTCTTCTTCATCTTCCACTTCACTGTTTTCTACTTGACGTGGTGATATGAGGTGTGGCAAATCGGACCATTACGCAGTAATGCCTGGTCCTATGCTGATTTGGATGGCTGATGGCCCTGAGAATTTATTTTCAAAGTTTTTTTTTTCTATGAGTATGCTAACGAGACAAATCAGTTACCTAAACTTCTTCAAGCATGGTTGAATTTAATCTCTTAACGATCCTGGTTAAAGTTTACTGCTTAAATCAGTTGGTGATAGCTTAGTTGATCTATAGCTAAAAAAAGCCTGTGTATTTCTTGAAGGCAGGCAGGCTCATAACAAAACCATTACTTCTAGAGATGTACTTTGATTGATTTCTATCTGATGACACTAATCACCTAACATACAATTCTGTATTACAACAGTGTTGATAGGAATTGGCCAGTGAGTGACCATGAGGGCAACTCTAACAACGATACAAAAACATCTGAAATATGTAATCGAATTTCTAGATTTTATGAAAAAAACTACCCATTCAATCGAGATAAAGAATTGTTGTCAACTTCTTATTTGTGTTTGTTTACCCTAAGGTATGTTTCCTTAGAATCCCCATTTTTTATCTTACGTTTTATACTACTAAATATCCTTGAGTAGTATAGTTTATATTTTCTCATTATGTCGCATCATCCACATCCTTGGCTATTTATTCAATTCGATTGTATCTTGTTCACCATTTAACATCACAGTTCATGATGATTATGTAGTTTTTTTTCGTTATTCCCTGATGTTCTATTTGTTTATCTTGCGTCTTTACCTCATCATGAGAACTTACATGCGTCTTTTATATTCTCTTCTGGTTGCTTGGGCATAGCCTTGATGTTTTTACTGATGACGCACTCTTTGCAAGTGCTTTGAAAGCGACAAACCCACAGATATTTCACGATTTGAGGTTTGTATTTTATCACTTAATATTGTTTATTCATATAGAACCAACTGTATTTCAGACAAATCCTGTGTTTTGGATTTTACGCGTAACTCGAATGTTTGGTTGGTTTATTATAGAGAAGTCGCTTGTTTGCTTTGATTTGGAATTTCTCGGGAAAAAAATTCACAAATGGTAACTGATTACTTTATTAGTTTCTAGGGTGACCAACAGAATTTTTGAGCCTTAATCTTTGATCTATGCTGCAGTATAGTGGAGATGAGGTAGGCAGATAGATTAGTGTATTTAGTACACTAATTGAAATGGCTTATTTGATCTTTGTTCTATATATTCGATGCTTTCTGGCATGAAAGTGGCTAGCAGTGGGATCCTGGACGCGTATTTCACCCTGTTCGAGAATAACCACTCAGCTGGGTGTATCCGCATTCCAACCAGTAGTGTTTTCCCCACCACTCCAAACGTCAGAGCGTTACCCACTTGACCGCCGAGACACGACGGGGATAGTTTTTAATGTTGTTGTTAGCATTATCCAGTCGTTGATTCAACTGAATTGACCGGTCTCAATTGACATATGGGCTCCTGTGCGGATACCTCGATATTGCCTGTGTTTCAATCATAAACTGATGGTGGATAGCGCCTAGCAGTGGAATTCAGGACGTGAGTATTTCGTCCTATTTGGGACTGGTCAGCTGGATGTGTCTACCTCCTGGTCGAATCAGCGATGAGATAATACAATCGACAATATTCAAAACTATACCCGTCGAGTCAGATGTGCCTATCGTGTGTCCCAGTGGCTCGGTGGATAACGCTCTGGCGTTTGAAGCGATCAGTCCCGAGTTTAGGTCTCTGTGGGAACAGCACCACTCACTGAGGCAGGTACATCCAGCTGACGAGTTGCAGATGAGATGGGACGTGCGTCCTGGCCACTATCCATCATAAATATATTCAGACCATTACTTCATGTTTCCACAAATTCATTCGATTACTACAGAATTTTTCAGTATTTCGACAACTACTGCAGAATTTTAAACCCAAAGATAATGTTTGTATTTTAAGGGAAATTGAGTTATCGAGTAGGAAGGTAAGATTGACAAGCAGTATTCAAAGTGAAGAGAAAACATTAGTACTCAGTCAATTTCTGACCAAGATGAAAAGCAAAAGCAACTTAGACATAAACTGACCAAGAGTCTTTGCGTAGATCATGAGCAGTGGTGGGTGAAGAAAGCGAGAGAGATAGAGAAGACATCAACGTTGGTTAACATCTGGCAACTATTTAAGATTATTAGAGATATCGACAAGAAGAAGACTATGGTTAGTGAAAACATCACCGAAAAGGGTCGGATGTTGATAAACCCTAAGGATAGACGGCTAGAACGTTAAGGAAAACACTTTAGAGGATAGTTTAACTGGCCCACAGCAACGCTTTAGTTGTCCAGTATCCATCCTGAACCTGAATGGCACGTAGATGTCGATCTTCAAATATTCTTGAAGTTGAGAAATTTATATCAAACCTGAAACGATGCAAATCAGTAGGAGTTGAAAAACAACGAACTCAAGGTGGCTCGGACATGTGTTATGTATGCCAAGTCAACGCCTATTACTTTGACGTGCCATGCTAGGGTAATTGGGATTAAGTTGAAAGAGGGTTTAGGCTGGTCAGATCAAGTAGTCCTTGACTGTTAGTTTGAGCAGTGTGCCTGGGGCCCCCAATATGACAGGAATCAATGGTTGAGCATTCTTAGGTGACATGGCTGAAAATCGGTGACAATGATACAGATCTATTCACTCTTCAACGTCTTCTAAAGATTGAATATTTAAACTAACCGTTCTCTTTGAAGTGTTTATTCTCTAACACAATTTTGTCTACTTCGATATAAGTCCTTTTCTATCCATCTGTTTTTTTATGATACTGTGAAGTTTAGCAACTTGAATCGATGAACTTGTATATGTTGGTATAGATAACTGACCATTAAATATTCATTAGAGCACTAATTCCTAATATGTGAAAAGTGTTACTTTACTGTAATCTAGATATTATCATTTCATATTCAACAATTCTTTTGTTAGGAAATGTTGAATGTCTATCAGGAGTTAGTATTATAGCAAAACAAACTGGATATTAGACCATCTTAAACTGACTTGAAGAAATTATTGTTACAGTGTATATTGGATGTTTATTCATCTACATAGAAAGATGAACAGAGCTCATCACTTTGACCATTACTTGCCAACATAGTTAGAAACAAAACGTAGAGACAATAAATACTTATTGCAGACTCGGAAAACAACTCTTCTCTTCTATACGATAACAATTATAAAAGTCTTGGTTGTATTGTGTTCTGTGAGTTAGGTTGTTGAATAGTGAAGCTTTCATCGTCTTTCTAGACAGCAACATCATCTACACTAACTTCAGTATGAAGTGAGTAAGCTGTCAATATCTCTCCGTGAGTGATTTAGTAGCCTACTCTGGCGATGTGGTCTCTTATTGGTTGTTTCCTTCAATTGTTGTGTCATTGACTGTATAGACTTTTCTGTTGGTTGTTCCTATGCTTCACCTCTCACCTTTCTGTCTCCTATCATCTTCCATTATTGGTTGATAGATTGGGTCTATATCTATACATCTGTTGACTGCTGACTGACTGACTGACTGACCTGAATGCCAACCTTCTAGGAATTCTATGATATTCTTCTTTGTGTTCCCTCTGTCCAGAATTTCTGTATTGTCGAAATTAAATTCATGTCCATAGTTGTTATCCACGTGCATTGAAATGAGTGAAGAAATAACGTGGAGTTTAATAGCCAATTAGTGTTCATGTAGACGAAGATGAAGAGGGCGGCCATTTTGTCCAATGTAGTGTTGTCCACAGTTATTCCAGTTGATTTTGTAAATGATATTCGGTTTGTCCTCTTTGATTGTTGTATCCTTTGATCTGCATTATGCAGACCAAAGGGAATTTGTTTATTAATGAGCCACACCAATTCCAAGTCAGTCAATGACACAACAATTGAAGGAAACAACCAATAACAGACCACATCGTCAGAGCAAGCTACTAAATCGCTCATGGAGAGATATTGACAGCCTACTCAGTTCATACTGAAGTTAGTGTTGATGATGTCACTGTCTAGAAAGATGATGAAAGCTTCACGATTAAACAACCCAACTCAGAGAACACAATACAACCAAGACCATCCACCTGAGCTACAAATATTTTCCATTATCTCAAATTATAAAAGTACGTATGTTATTAGTATTAAGAGATAATAACTAAAAATGAAATTATGCTTTGACCATCTAAGATAGCCGTAGTTTGGCAGACTAGTATTTGTACTGAGTGATAATTGAAGGTGAAATAAAAATCCGAATCACGACTGGATTCGAACCAGGCCGGTAACCCGGTGGTCGCTGGTTCGAATCCGGCCACGGTTCGGATTTTCGTCTCACCTTCAATCATCACCCAGTAAAAAAATGAAATCTTTACATGAATTGAAAAATTCGAATAAAATCTCTTAGATGTTGTCCTGATAGACAGACAGACAAATAAAATTAACGTAGAACCTCGTACAAAAGTGTATGGAAGGAGAAAGAGTTCTAAAAATGAAGGTTATTGGAAAGAGCAATATGACCAATTTTCACCTAAGTCTCCAAATGTTCTCCAATTATTTGATTCCTATTCTCTCAAGCATCCCAACCAGATAGTCTAAACCTTCCCTATGCAAAAATATTGTCTTACCGAAGGCAAAATAGTCAGATATTTATTACAATCCATCTTGTAGTGGATCGTTTATATAATATATATATATATATATATATATATATATATATATATATATATATATCCCTACATAGGTTTGCTCAACTGTCACATAAGAGAAGTTTAGTTAGGTATCTGTCTGAAAAAAGTACGTGATGAGGATATATTTGAATGCCACAATTGAAGTAGAGGGTGAATATTTCCAATTAAAATGGATATCGAGACAATGTCATTAAACAGATCTGTTTACTTGATATATAGCGCATAGTGATATAGTAATGAAGAAACAGAAGACAACTCGACGAGAGAATGTACATCAGGAAGAATTGGAATAGTGGTGGCTACATATGGTACTCCTTGCACTAACGCAGCCATTTGCAAATGTCTTCGTTTCCTCTCTGTTCCTGTCTTGATTTGGTCTTGACCGGCTCTTCATACACTCTTATCAGCAGCATCCCCTGTAACACGCCTGTGTTGTCCCCTGCGTTTCTCTTGGCAGAAACCTTACCCATTGCCGGTAATTCCCTATGATTCCTGCCACCCTCTCGATGTATACTACTTATATCCGTTGTTATCAGCAACGCCAACTACAGTAATACTTATATACTGGATGACGTTTCGAGCACTAACTACTTATTGATCATAATCACACTCTACTTTCAACATCTCATCTTTATAGTCCTGTCATCCACATCATATTCTTTGTTCTTATCACTAGTAACATTTTCCATACCTGTGGTATAGATGTTGCATCATTCCTATCCCACATGTGTTGGCTGGATGTTGATTCGATGAACAAAGATTCAGTCCCTCTCTCAGTCTCTCTCTCTACCTATCTACCTAATTATATTTGACTTAGGTACATTGGTTTCATCTCCTCCCCCTTCTATTGTGTGGTTGTGTGTTATTATGCATGCATTGCAACAGCCGAGTTACCCTCTAGTTTATTGATCTTATTCGGATCTGTTATTCTATATTTAGCTAGATTCTTATGTTCTGCCAATCTAGCCGACCCCGACCGGCTAGTTTGACCTACATACTTGACCTCACAGTCATTACATGGAATTTGATAGATTGGATTATTTTGCTGAATTGGTTCTATCAGATCCTTAAGCCAGGCGACAAAGCTAATCTTTGAGTGAGTTTGTAGGTTTAAATGCCACCCTAATTCCAGCTTTGTTGAGGATCCTACTTAAAGTTTCTGATATACCTTCCTTGTAGGGTAATGCAATAGGAGCTGTGAACTCCTTTGTACCTATGTTGTCATTATTATTCCTACTCGTTTTACTGTTATTATTTCGTTTGTTATGTGTTCATAGGAATTTCTTAATAAATGGTAGAGGACAATTATGAACTATTAGTGCTTCTTTTATGTACTTCAGTTCCCTGTTTAGGTCATTGGACTACTGACTGATTAGTTTCCTAGCTCTATCATTTAGACATTTGACTGAACCTGCCTTAACTGACATTGGATGAGATGACATGAAGTCGTTTATAGACCTGTTAGAATGTGTCGGTTTCCTGTAGACGGTAGTATCCAAATCACCGTAATGACCGCAATGTAATGACTATGAGGTCAAGTACATAGGTCAAACTAGCCGGTCGGGGTCGGCTAGATTGGCAGAACATAAGAATCTAGCTAAATATAGAATAACAGATCCGAATAAGATCAATAAACTAGAGGGTAACTCGGCTGTTGCAATGCATGCATAATAACACACAACCACACAATAGAAGGGGGAGGAGATGAAACCAATGTACCTAAGTCAAATATAATTAGGTAGATAGGTAGAGAGAGAGACTGAGAGAGGGACTGAATCTTTGTTCATCGAATCAACATCCAGCCAACACATGTGGGATAGGAATGATGCAACATCTATACCACAGGTATGGGTGATTGTTGAAAGTAGTATGATTGTATTAATATGATTATGAGCAATGAGTAATTAATGCTCAAAACATTATCAAGGAAATAATACTGTGCGGTATAAATCAAATTAACAAATCTAATATGAAATGAACTTGTACCACAGTGTCCAAGTATTACACTTATATGATAAAAGAATATTGTTTATATGGGATCAATTATTAAAATAAACAAATGAATCAATATGATAATAATCATTTGCTTACATTTGATAATGTTTCATCTTCACTTATTCCAGCATCAGTATTTACTTCATTTGTTCCAGTAGTAGTAGTAGTAGTTGTAGTATTAGTAGTAGTAGCATTAGTAATGGTAGTAGTGATAGTAGTACTATCAACATCATTTAAAGTATTCCCAGTGATTGATGATATTTGTACACGTCCAGTATTGATTGTACTTCGTGATCGACCACCAGTGATACCAGCAGCAACTGTATTAGTAGTAGTACTAGTAGTGGTAGTAGTAGTAGTAATAGCAACAGCAGCAGCATTATTCCCATTTATGCCTAATTGCTGTTCAAGGGAACGTGTCAATGAAGCGCTTAAATGTTGTCGATTTAAACGAGCCAAAATTTTATCTTGATGTGCTTCATATTCCTAAACAAAGACAATCAAGAATAACTTTCCAAAAAATTAAAAGAGAAGAGAAAAATTTATGATTAAATTGGAAGATTTTTCATCAATATTCGTACAGGAGGTCAGTCATAAATTGAATAGGTCATTCTTTAAGTTCCTGACTTTACCAATGAATGAAGCAGATGCAAGTCATTAAGGGGTCATCATTTTCTTCATGATACTAGATAAGCCTTCCCGATGAGTGCCAACATAAAAAAAAAACCTAGGACCATATCTCTCCATCCCTATCGATTGAGTTCCATCATATAACAACTGAAGAAATATCTATCAACCGGTACAGATGAGGACGTCAAAGCCAGAATAGGAAAGACAATAAGATAGGCATTCATCAACCTGAAACCAGTGTGCAGACCTACTGCACTCAGCATAAAGCGTGAACAAGATCCAGATTTTCAACACTAATTCAGTCAAGTCAGTCAGTGCTTGCTTTTATGTGATGGTTGAGAGACTTAGAGTATTACGAAAAGCATTTCCAACAAACTGCAGATATACATCAACAGCTGCCACCTACGCTCACTCCATACAAATACTGAAGATCAGGTGGCTAGAATTATAAGAATAAGCAACAAGGAACTCTGGCCTGACTGGCAACGAACCAACGAAGAACCTGTCGCTGAACAAATATGCACTGGAAGGAAGTGCAGATGGATTGGATTGGACATACACTGAGAAGACCATTCGGGGATATCAGACGTCAGAATCCAAAGGGGAAACGACGAGTTGGGCGTCCTAGCTGAGGGTAACACGGAGGAGATCATGTGAAGAAGAAATGAAAGTTTATGGAGAGCCATGGAGCTAGGTTGGAAAGACTTCAGAGAAAAGAGTGAAATGGTGACGTGCTACTGAAGTCCTATGTTCCAACAGGATCCCAAAGGAGATATAATAAATAAATAAAAGTATGAAGGATAATAAGTTATGCTTGAAACGTCATGAAGTATCACACTGTGTACTATACCAAATAGGTGTAATATGAAAGGTTATTTTCAACTTTTGGATTGAAAACGAGAACAAGTGTCACACGAAAACTAGGCTACACAAACCACTTCTAATTTTCGTTACAGTAAGGCCTACACTATCTGTTGCAATGTATAACATTTCACGCCAAAACAAGTTACAAATATATAAAGGCAAGGAAGTATGCCGCTCTAATATTCTACACAGATGAAGTAATTATATATATTACACATATATATTGACCGAGATAACGAATTCAGGTTGATATTCATTGTACACTGACATCAGTTGGAGAACCACTGCGGCTAGAACATTAAGGTCATAGGTGTGCGCTGCTGAGCAGTAACATACTAGAATAAAACACTTATCTAGCTCTCCCAGGTTCCCAATATTTCTCCAAATGATGTCAATCTATAATGAATACCAACCTAGAACCACAAACCTCTTCCCCCCAAAGAAAAAAAATAATTTCGATGAGTTATCTCCTAGAAATATACTCAATTATCTCTGTGTAACAATGAAAAACATCATGCTCTAACAACTGAAATTTTTGCTGAAAGGAAGTAGTCTCTTTCACCTATCTAGGCAGCACTGTTTTAACTATAGGCGGCACAGGCACAGACGAGGATGTCAAAGCCAGCGAGGATAGGAAAGGCAGCAAGACAGGTGTTCATTAACCTGAAACCACTATGGAGATCTTCTGTACTCAGCATGTGGAACAACATCAGGATTTTCAACACTAAGGTCAAGTCAATGCTTCTGTATGGCTCAGAAACTTGGCGCGTTACGAAAGGGATTTCCAACAAACTCTACAGACATTCATCAACAACTGCTTACGTTCACTAAATACTGAAGCTCAGATGGCCAGAAAGAATCAGCAACAAGGGACTCTGGGAACGGACCAACCAAGAACCTATCACTCAACAAATATGCAGGAGAAGGAAGTAAAGATAGATTGGGTATACTCTGAGAAGGCCGACTAGGGACATCACGCGTCAGGCCAGGCACTCGAATGGAACCCAGATGTGAAACGACGAGTTGGGCGTCCCAACTGAGGGTGACATGGAGGAGATCGTGCGAGGAGGAAATGAGAGTTTGTGGGCTGTCGTGGAGCCAGGTTCAAAAAATTCCAGAGAATAGAGTGCACTGGAGACGTGCTACTGAAGCCCTATGTTCCACTAGGAACTTAAGGGACAAATAATAATAATATAATAAGATTGCTTCTCAATAAACAGAAGAAGGGAAAATTTAATTCACTAGCTACAAATAAGTTCATGTAAATAAGCTATTAGTTACAGCTCTTACAAAATATCCCATGCTCTAACCGGAATTGACAATTGAAAGTTTAGATTTCTCAATCGAAAGCTATACATAATCGTGAAGTTATGGCTCATTGGTTTAGACAGCTGACTTTTAACTAGTGGATCATGGGTCACCTACGGAGGTTTAGGTAGCCATGTAGTCTCATCAACCCTCGAAGCAATAAGTATGGTAGTTTACTGTGTAATGCACAAAATGGTATATGTTTGCCAAGTTATATTTTTTGTGGCAGATGGTACCAGATTAATAATATTCCTGACTTTAAATTTTGCTACAGAGCATTGTCACCATACTAGTAATGGTCATTCATGTGAGTAAATTCTCAAAATAAAAAATAACCTTGCTTAAAACAAATAAGTGGATAGTGATTGAGAAAGAGTGAAGTTTGAGCTTGACTCATTCAGATACATTATGTGTTTAATTATTAAAGTTATGATAATATTAGTACTAAAAATTTATAACAGGCAAGTGATATGTAATACACATACTTGACGACTTGGATAAATTTTGGCTATCAATGCATCAAAATTTGGATCTCGTCTTAAAGATCGTTTTGATACCAATTTTTTACGACATGTTGGACATTCTTTATTACCACTTCGTAGGGCAGTGATAATACATTCAGAACAAAAACGATGTAAACACTCTTTTGTAGTCATAGTCACTTTTAATATATCCAAACATATTGGACACATTAGTTCACTTTTTAAACTTCTTGGGCTAACAGCAATAACAGTTCCATCAGTAATAGGCTCTTGTGGTTTACGATGCAATTCGTATAAAGTAAGCTCCCAGTTTTTTGAAGAGGCATTTTCAGTAGTCATTTCTAAAACAGATAATAATGCATATAAAAACAATTTTGTTTGAAATAATGAAGTTTTTAACTAGAACAGTTAATAAAAACATGAAGTCTGACATTTATTGTCCTATAATCCAACTTGCTATATTCCACATCAGAGCGTTTAAATATTAGCCAAGATGAAAGGTAGTAACGCAAATTATGAGGTCCCGATTCATAAAAAGTAGAAAAGAAATTAAAGAAAACGACGAAACGTGATACTATAGTTGAGAAAAAGGTAGGGCATCAAAGTACCTATGCCACTATGATCAACCGAATCATTTGATTTAGAATTTCTCATCGTTGTTTTGGGTTGCCTCACATTACCTTATTGAATGCTCTCTACTCAAACACTTGTCAATGTATTACAACCTATGGTGAGATGTCCGGGGAGCTGTCCTAGTCAAGTGGTATCCGTCAAGGATTTCCACTATCTCCACTCTTATTCAATTTTAACATAGATACTCTTATGCAGGTCTCCCTCTCGTCACCTGACTACACAGGTGACGAGACAATTTCCGTTAGACCTACAATATGCAGATGACATACTCTGTTAGCTGAAGATGCTGACAAGATACAGAGTCTACTGCACACCTCCAGTGGCAATCTCAGAATGTTTGGGATGCGTTTCTCACCATCCAAATGCACATTGTTACTCTACGATTCATCTTCAACTGTCCCACAGCTAAAAACGGAGAATCTAGAGGTTGACTGTGTCAACCACTTCACTCACCTGAGAAATACGATCAGCCCTGATAACTAGCTCACTGACAGATCAAATCTCTGCACGAATACAAAACGCTCGGCTGGCTTCTCCCAACTCACGACACCTATGGCAACACCGTGATATCCAATTATCTAGTAGCGTCACGTGGAACGCACAACACTCCACTCTCTTCTACTATATGGCTACGAAACACGACCATTGAAGGTGGGAGACATAAGAAGGTTTCAGGTGTTTGACCAACGTTCCCTTCCTACTATAGGCCGTATTCCATCGTGTCACCATGTGAGTAACACAGACGTCAGGTGTAGAGTTTTAGGGAGAAGAGAAGAGGTAAGTCAGTTGACATGGTTGTGAACCTTCATCGACTGAGATGATGGCTGGCTCACACATGTGTTACGTATGCCCAGTCACCATTTGCCTCGTCACACAATCTTGGTCGAAGTATGTTCAGGTTGGAGAAAGGATCGAGGCTCTCGGCCAGACTAAAACATGACATGGCATCAATGTATGAAGTCGTTGACTATTGGTTTGAGTCATGTGGGGCGATGCAGACTAGGTAGTTGGGGTCGGTGGGAAAAGAGAAACCAGTGGTTGGAGACTGACTTTAGGTGATCACATCACTCAGAGTTGATTCAGTGGCGAAGATGTATACACACATTATCCTCGTATTAACGCTTTACCGAATTTCACCATTTTCTCATTCTTCCTTTCTCCCTTTTAGTACTTTATATTTCTTTTTACTGAATTTTCCTTTCTTCCTCATTTTTCATTCTTCACTGCCTTTTTATGTGATGTGGTGATATGAGGTGTGGCAACTCGTAGGGTGACGTAGTAATCCCCGGCCCTATGTTGATTTGGATGAATGGATGGCTGTCTCACAAAAGACAGACAGGGAGCCTACATATTTTTACACGGCTTAAATCAACAAACAGACTTAATGGATTGCTGTAATATCCTGATTAAACGACTGCGATTTCCCCCACTGTCTTCACTGAACATGGTGGTTAAGCATGCATAACACATAAAAGCCACGTCAGTTGATGAAGGTTGGTAAGCTAATCAACGGTACTGTTTCTTTTACCAAGGACCCTGTTATACCTCAAAACCACTCACCCGGTATTTCCATCACACACTTGATACCGCAAAGGCAACAGCGGTTAAATAACTTAAAGCCTATTGTATCCTCCACATGTAGTGACTAAGCTTAAGAATAAGAGAGTAGGACAGAGCGAGATGTTGTGCAGCAAACACTAACGGACATTCTGAAACCTCATTGATGCCACAAGCGTCGTATATTTACAAAAGCTAGTTGAACCCAAAAGTGGCAGGTTTGATAAGATGTCCCAAGTAGGTAAAGTGGTCAATGCGCTCAACTACTTCACTTCATATTCGTAGATAAAGTGTCGACATAAACTTTTATTGATTTCTCAAATAAGCATTTTCCTTGTGATGAGCTGAATGAGTCGATACGGCTACAGTTGATGAGACTGTTAACATGTAATAATTTTATTACAATGATTGAAAGCTTAGTTCTTAGCAAGGTGAATCTTCCTAGGCGATGTGTTTATCATGTTTAAGATCAGTAAAGAATATTGGACCCGCAATCTCAACAACGCCACATTCACCTTTTTAGTCACTTGACACCGTTTTGCCAGAGGTTTCAGGCACTCCAATGCATAAACATTTTAGTCTCTTCGTAAATGTTGATTTCCCATAGCACATTTAACTGATTCTCCTTTTCGTACTAACCTCAACAGGCTTTACTGAAAGTGAGTTGTGACTTCAGCTAGGCGTTTATTTGCGTATATGTGTCTGTGTCCAGCTCGGAGGACAGAAAACGAGGGAGGAAGTCTCGGTAGTGGACTAATGAAACTAGTGTTACACAATTTTAAGTTTGCTAACCCTACTTATCCCTATCAAACCCATCACAAGATTCCTTGAAGACGAAGAGGTTTGCGAAGTTATGAACTTTCAGATAGATGCAAAGAAATATCAGGAGATCCACGTGATAGCGTACGACAAAACTAATTTCAGGTAGACTAAACCACGAATCCATATTCATGAACCATCTTCTGCATTGCGAACGATTAGATCTATTCGTGATTTCGACGAGAACGGGCAACTTCCAGTAAAACTCGAGTTAAAAGCAACGGGAAGAGAAAATTGTCAACATATTTTATCCTATGTGGCTTTTGTAATTGACATCATAAGTTGCAGTTCATACAGTCTAAACCACATTGCAATCCCCCCACAAGAAAAATAACTATCACCTCTTTAAACAGTAAATTGAGAAGACAGATTATCTAAAACATGCGAAGTATCAGCGCTACACATTTCGAACAGTATGGTCACACATAAACATGTCAAACTACTTACGCGAAAATTTATGAAAATCGTCAATTACGTCAGTGGGAAACATAAAAATAGAAAAAACAGAACGAAAACTAAATCTAAACAACATCTTCCTTGACATGGAAATCAAAATAATACTACCTAGGTAGGTTCAACGTGAGCACAAATTGCTTTTGTATACGTAAAATGGGTTGGAATTCACGGAAGGCCAGAGATCGTCCAATAAACCTAAGCACTCGACCCTGACTACTTTTATGTGGTACTTTGAAAACTATTTTCATGTCTACCTTTTGACTAGTTTCTAGTATGTATTTGATGGTAAATAAAGACGAATGTTTGTCACATACACTTATCGGATCTGTTGAATTCATTTGTTTTTAAAGTCACTTAGATACATGTTCAACCATCTTTAACTGCATATCACGATTACTCCTCCCTATTCATATGTTCACACATACATGTAGATTGATAAATATAGTGGGATTGATGCAATCGTTTATGTGTTGCTTTGGTTTGTGTTGTAACATGGGCTTTGTCTTCTCTACAATGATGACCTTGGGTACATAATATGTTTTACAGATGGCTGGTCTAAGCATTTCTTCACAATAAAGCTACGTGGATCACCTCTAAGTGGTAATGAGGTGTGGGCATTTTCTTAGGAACGGAACACTGCATACGTTTAAATACTACATAACTTCGACCCGTAGACAACGTTAGATGTAATAGACTGTCAGTTTTATAAGTTTTAGGTAACCCATATAAATGGGGATGCTCAGATTTCGTAGGTTTATCCACAGGTGCAAAAGTTATGTAGCAATTAAAAGTATGCAGTGTTCCGTTCCTAAGAAAAATGCCCACACCTCATTACCACTTAGAGGTGATCCACGTAGCTTTATTGTGAAGAAATGCTTAGACCAGCCATCTGTAAAACATATTATGTACCCAAGGTCATCATTGTAGAGAAGACAAAGCCCATGTTACAACACAAACCAAAGCAACACATAAACGATTGCATCAATCCCACTATATTTATCAATCTACATGTATGTGTGAACATATGAATAGGGAGGAGTAATCGTGATATGCAGTTAAAGATGGTTGAACATGTATCTAAGTGACTTTAAAAACAAATGAATTCAACAGATCCGATAAGTGTATGTGACAAACATTCGTCTTTATTTACCATCAAATACATACTAGAAACTAGTCAAAAGGTAGACATGAAAATAGTTTTCAAAGTACCACATAAAAGTAGTCAGGGTCGAGTGCTTAGGTTTATTGGACGATCTCTGGCCTTCCGTGAATTCCAACCCATTTTACGTATACAAAAGCAATTTGTGCTCACGTTGAACCTACCTAGGTAGTATTATTTTGATTTCCATGTCAAGGAAGATGTTGTTTAGATTTAGTTTTCGTTCTGTTTTTTCTATTTTTATGTTTCCCACTGACGTAATTGACGATTTTCATAAATTTTCGCGTAAGTAGTTTGACATGTTTATGTGTGACCATACTGTTCGAAATGTGTAGCGCTGATACTTCGCATGTTTTAGATAATCTGTCTTCTCAATATACTGTTTACCTTCATCAAGGGGACTATTTGCTTGAAATCTTACTTTTTACTTCGAAAATATCCCTCTTTATACCGTGCATCATTTTGTATATATGCGTAGAAATAGGAATTCAGTAGTTGCTCTGCTTGCAGTACCAACAAACGGTTCATGCACTTTACACCACCCACGAATATGAATAATTCTTTGAGAGGTTTTCAAAATTGCTAGAAAATACTGTCACTTTGAGGATGCCGAAGTATTATTCCCTGCTCAGTACGTTTCCATGGACGACAAGACAAAGAAATTACAGCTCATCTTAGGACGTCACGTATTTTTGTAGCAGTAAGCTGAGACAGAGTTGAGTCATGAGGAGACGATGAGGGGCTAAAGTAGTTAGTACGCGGAGCAATTCGGTAGCAAAGACAGTGGTGAACATTTACCACAACGCCTGTTTAGGACAACGCTGATACGGAGCTTAGACTACACAGTCATTAGTTGGTATATCTCACATGAGTCAGTCACAAACTAAAACCATCAACCAGCATGAACAAAATGATTTTTCGTAATGGGATATTTAAAGAAAGTTACTTTCATATTCTTGAAATACACAACTGCGACTTCTAGACAAACACTAGAAATATAGCCACAAATCATTGGTTTCGAATTCGTCTCCTTTATTTCTACATAAATACAACCATTGCGATATTTATAACATAAATAGATTCAAATCATAAGGACACCAGTGCAATTACTTTTAGGATAACTATGCATTTATGGATATGGGTTTCATTCCAAGGAAGCGCCATTGTCTACATTACTGGTAAAAGCAAAAGGTACTTTCCTGAAGCAATTGAACACATCCCAAATTATGCCATTACATGAGAACAAAGCAAAGTGCATCGAAAACGTGTTAATGCACAGAAAGGATTGGTTGCGAAGACAAATCGGACCTTGATAATTATTGAACACGAATAGGTGGTGCGATTTAATCATCGGATTAATGCATACATATTGTCATAAACTTACTCATCTACTAGTGATAAGTTACGACTGGAAACAGAAATTTGCTATTGATTTAAACATTCCTCAAGAACACTGTATTTGCCCTAAAAATCTTTATCGTGCACAACTAAAACAGTAATTAATAACAGTATTGGCCGGGTATTACCTAATATTGAAGTATAACCCAGCGTGATTCTACCAAGTACACACAGTTTACGAGTGACAAATGACTTTTTGACGCGTCATATTATATAGAATTTCAGAAGTAAAGACGACAGCGATGATAAGACAATAAATTCATGTAAAAACAATAAAAGCAACTAACTTGTAGCGCCCAGGTTAAATGAAGCGGTCACTTTTGTACAACATGGGACATCTGACCTTAGTAGTGTCAGTCTGTGAATTCTGTAGTTTTTGAGCTCCCACTTCTAAGTCTTTAGGTTTGGCCCCTTTTCTTAATCTGTACACCTTTCATGGTCTCAGATGTCTTTTTATTTTATCTGATTGTAGCTTTGGAGGTAGTGTTTGTATGTTGGAAGGTTTTCCTTAGCTAACTTTGGGTTTGTGTTTTAGGGCAGCAAAGAAGCTGTAAGTAGTACTAAATCGCATTCTGTAATTCCTGCCTCCATTATTGCCTGCAAGGAAGCATTCAGCGTAATTTTTAAAGCAGTGCGAGAAATAAGGAGATTGGGGAATGAGAAAAAAGGAGTGAATGTATTTATTGAAGACTAAGTGCTTCTGGTAACAATAGGGAGAAAGGGTGGGTCTTACTGCGGATAATAGGATTTGAAAATATGAGCATGAGCAATCATATCTTTGGTTTCTCGCATCGAATATCCGTGGTAGGACGTTTACGCCCACTCATTTGTTGAGCAGTCATTTGAAGGGGTCAACCGACGCATCTATGGCCAAGTCCTTGTGCAGAGCCCCTCATAGTGCACCCGCTGTGTGAGAAGTAGCTAGATCCCACTGTCCTTTTTTCCCCGTAGTGAGGTATGTGAGTTGGGTTCCCGTGAACTTGTTAGTTTTAGACTGATAATGGTGACTAGCTGAGGTGGTCCACTTGGTGGATGATCATGTAGGCTGTTATCAAGCCACTTCGTTTCCTTCAGTAGCTTAGTGCGAAGAAGTCAAGTTTTCTAAAACGTTGCGCATATGCTACACTGGCTGGTCTGTTAAGTTACCTTTTTGCTGTCCTCTAGATCTTCAAAATACTCATAGGTCTCTTTAGCAGAGGGGGCATATCGCATTGAATCCCTCTAGTTTAAGCCCATCATAGTTACTAACTACCATGAGGAATAACTCGGGTTGACATACGACACCCAGAAAGTGCATGACATCGTTCATTCTTGCCACCATCCGCCTATTGTTGACACCAATACCCAGCGTGCCAGAGTGGCTTAGTCCTGGGTCATTCTCTGAGGACACCCTAGTGACTGTACTTGTTGAGGATGTGGCTGGTTTTATCACCTCCAGTGTGAGAAGATAGGCTGCGTTGCACGTCTTCAGGTTAGAGCTCAAATCATTTGTGTTTGACCATGGCTCTAGGTGCGGAGGATTGTCTTGAAGTATCCTCGAATCCTCTTTTCGATGTCATCGGTGAGTAGAAGGATGGACAAGGAGCTTTGGACGTGGAGGCCACTGACGAACGGTGAAAATAGGAGCGGCCCAGAGACCCTTCCTTGAGAGAATCCCGTTCCTGAGCTCCTCTAGAGCATTCGAATTGTGTTTACCTCAGTTTGGAATCCTCCGCCTACTAGATATGCCGCGACCCATGTTATGAATGGTTCACTGGTATCCATTATTACAAGTCTAGGCCTCTGTTGAAAGCTTTGGCCACGTCCAGAACGATAACGTAGACTGATTAACTGTGGTCGTTATTTATTCTTCCAGCCAACCAAAGCAGTCATCGAGCGCGTGACTCACGGCCATCTGTCTCTGAAGCCATGTTTTGTGGGATGATGGGTGTTGTTTCCGTTTATGTAGCCCCAAACAACATATGCAACCAGGCTTTTAAGTGCCTTGGATATTATTGGAAATGACGTTATCAGACTTCAATTGCGTAGGTTTCTTCTGTCCCCTCCTTTGAAGATTAGCGAAAGGATGGCGCGCTTCCATTCTGCGGGGAGTTAACTTACTTCCAGCGGGCGTTTGAACAGATTTCATACAGATATGTTTGGCGCCTCAACACGATTCCGCTGGACTACTGGTCTCAAGTCGCCGCAGACCGCAGATTTCACCATTGTGAGTGTTGAAAGTTTCGCAAACAGTTGGTTTGAAGAAATCTTTGCGTTCAACGGCCTTGTATCGCAGTCCTGGAAAGCCGTTAGTTTACTGGACATTGGCAGCGGGTGCATCACTGTGGTGAGCTTTCCATCAAACAAATAAATAAATGTTTTATGCTCACATTAGCAACTTAAAGTGAGAGAAGCCAGTGTACAGGCGTCATCACATTGATGTAGGTCGAAAAATCTACAAGATTTTACGAGTCCTGAATGTCGTTAAACTCTATTAAAAACAGAAGCTCCTGCTAGTTATGAAACGGAAAAGAAAATATCGCTTTTCAGCGTATACAGGGTGTTCAAGTTAGGATGATAATTAATATTGTCCTCACATGATGGATTTTGCACGAGGGATTCCGATTTACAAGCATCGTCGAACTGACAATTCATGAAAGTTTACAAAGTGGTATTTAGTATTAAATAACTAACATATCAAGTCACTGATGTGCATAATATTAATAAAACCTGCTGAAATTCATAAGATGGGAATGGATTTTTGTCTCCCATTACACAGGTAGGCTACACTATTAGGAACAAGAACGTGCAGTGTTTGAAGTTTCCATTATAACCAGCCAACGTTGTCAGTCCATTTGCACACAATCTGAAGCATCGGTAAAGTATCCACAGTTATATAATCAAGAGGAGTGTCTAAATCAAAGCATTTTCGGGTCACCATATTACGTTTAAAGGTAATATAGAATAATCCCACCGAGAACATTTGTTGTTTCGGGTAGAAATAGACGTCGGGACGGTCAGTAGTTCAAATGGCAGCATTCACACATAGACTCCGGGTATCTGTTGCATTGGAGTAGGCAGCATCATCCGAGAAGTGTATTTGATATGTGGTAACTTTCATATGCAAAGACTGCTTGATACAGAGTACTAGAAAACATGTAGTGTGGAGCTACTGTAGGTAAGTCGAGCTCCGAGCCAATAGGTAAGTTGATCCCTGGTTTAATCATTTGTTCAGAATGTCTCAGCTACTAATACGGTTGGGAAAGTTTAGACGGTTCGTCGCAGAAAGAATCGTGACCAGTAAGTGAGTTAACCGTGAAGACGGTCCGGAATTCGTGAAGGAGTGTGAGCAGTCCAGTAACTATTGGTGTCAGCGAGCAGGCATTGTTTCCACTAATTAGTTTATGTTCAGGTTGAAATTCAGCTTCAAATGTCGTCATGGAGCTGTTGCTGCGGTTGCTCAACAGTTCCACTGTCTCACTGCTGTTCAAGAGTACTCCGTTCAACCATGTGGCTAGGTTTAACCTTTGTTCCCGGTTTTCGTCTCGTCACAAACCGATATAGACATTTTGGGTCGCAGCTTAGGGGTTTGGCCAGATCGCTGTGGTATTTTTACCTGCTAGTACGAACATTTACACTACATGGGTTGCATAACTTCCTGTAGCTAGGGGATACCGACTCCATGTTGGATGTGTCCTACTTATACCACGCCCGTTTCTCCTCCGCATTCGCCTCTGGGTTTCCCATGCAAGTCGAAAGTGTCTAGAAGGTGGCCGTCCGCTTACTCGTAGAACATTTTTCAATAGCGTTACAGATGACAGCTCTAATGTGTATGCAGCGTTTGCCTATCGATAGAGAGTCACATTCTTGTGGCCACGAAGGCTCCTTAATTTCGCTACTCATCAGCTGGTAGTCTGCCTCCCGGCAACTTTCCTTCAGTCACACAAGCATCGGCTAGTATGCACCAGTTGACTTTTTAGCACCACGTTCTCTGCGCTGAACAAATGTCGGTTCAATTTAGAATAAAGTGACGGATTTATCACGGGCGGGTTTAGCTGCTTAAATCCGCAGACGCCATATCACTGGCTACCTGCCTCCTTTCGCTCTTGTAAGTCCAACGACTGGTTAGATACTGATCCAGTCTGACCCGTGATCATGCTAATGTGGGATTTTTAAGTTCCATGTCACTTAACTTCTTTAATTCGATAGGACGGAAGAATGAAATTTAATGGACACACAAACAAAGAGGAAAGGGGGGAGAAGATCAGGTGCAGGAAAAGAAAAAGTGAAATAAATGCATACAAACAAATGAAAGCTATGACTGGCAAAGTTTAAGTGAATGACTTTTATGGCGGATGATAAAGGAAAATGACAGAATATTACAGTAGGGGTACTGGAACTTACACCACCAATGATATCATGACAGAGTGGATAACTGAAGAGGTAAAGTTTCGAATCGAAGAAGGAGAAGTTGGTCGGCACACAGAAGTAGAAGATAGAGCTAATGTAAAAAACAGTTACTGGCTTTCTCTACCCAGTTTGTCTTACAGTCTAATAAGCTCAATCTGGGCGTCGCTGCGTAAGTGTTTGAGGTTGCCAGTGGATGGAGCGGTGGCCATCTCATCGGGACAAGTATTCCAGTGATTGCAGGCCAGGAAAGAAGTGTGGTTACATATGGATTTTCTCCTTCTGAATGGTGACTCTATTCTGGTTCTCAAGAGGCCAACCTTAGTAATACTGGGATAGCGCTGGTTCGGTCAGTTGACCTCGGTCCTCCATATGCTAGTGGACCATAGTTAGGTCACCATGCATCTTGAGGAAACTAAGGCTGTAAAGGCCGGGATATCCTGGTCTATCTTTTCGTGGTTTTTTCGGCACCCCAACAGTGCGCTTCGTAACTCTCATTCCAACGTTTTCCACGGTGTCAGCAGCACCATAAAGAGTCATCAAGAAAGCCATTACTGCTCGTCGAGAACGTAAGGCTTTATCGTCACATCCGCAACATGGCTCGGGAAGTTTGTCGTGCCTGGTATCGCTTTTCAGTCATTGAAAGCTGAGGTGAGTCTAACGTTGATAAGGAATCCGTGAATGTCATTTACATGGACTTCAGCTGGACACCGAATGAAGCATTTCGTTCTAGGTTTCGCCTTCAAGTGGAAAAATTCAAAGTTGCTGGTAGTCAACCTGTATCGATCAAAGAGCCCCTTGGTGGGAGGAGAAAAGACCGATTGCCGATTTTAAACTATCCTGGATTAAGCGAAAGGGCAGGCAGGCGCAGTCCTGGGTCCACCGCCATGTATCCTGCACAAACTTCCGGTCGTTATTAAACCCCACAATTACCTG